AGATTAAAAGCATGATTTAGAGTTGGAATCATAAGTTTCTATCTAGAGCCGAGAGGGAAGTTTTGTTTAAAAGCGTGGTGCAAGCTATCCGCTCTTTTGCTATGAATGTCTTCCTTTTACCCCTGTCCATGGTCAAGGAGATAGAAAGGATGATGAATGCGTTTTGGTGGGGGGGGATAAGATGGAAGGCTTGGGATCAATTGTGTGCTCCTAAAAAATGGGGTAAGTTGGGCTTTCATAGATTGAGGGAGTTTAATCTTGCTATGCTCAGTAAACAAGCTTGGAAACTGCTACACAACCATTATTCTCTTGTCTCCAGGGTTTTTAAGGCCAAATACTATCCCAATTGTTCCCTTTTGGAGGCCAAGAGTGGTAATAGTCCCTCCTTTAGTTGGATGAGTATTTTGGAATCTCAAGATATTATTAGAAAACATAGCAGGTGGAGAGTTGGGGATGGGTGTTCTATCATAATTTGGAAAGATCTTTGGTTTCCTGATGGTACTAATGTCACTGACCCGCTGTGACCACACCCCCTATCCATACTTGAGTAGTAATGCTATTGTATCCACCCTTTTTAATGATCAAAATTATGCTTGGGGTGAGGATATTATCTGGGACATTTCCAATACCAAGGATTCTAAGCTGCTTATCACTAGTATCCCACTGTCAATAGATAGAAGGGAAGATAAACTCATATGGGTTAGGGAGGATAGATGTCATTTCTCTGTTAAGAGTTGTTATAGAGCCTATACATATGATCTTTCTGCTTCAACCCCTCTTGCATTGGTTGTGGTCTGGAATTTAAAAATCCCCCCTAAGGTGAATTTTTTTTTTCTAGCAAGCTTGCTCCTCATGCTTTCTTACTGCTTGTCTGCTACGACAGAAAAGGGCGAAGGAATGTTGGGTTAGAATGATACTACTATTTTAATGATTGGGTGCAAGATAATATTAATGTTCTTACCAAGAATGATCTTTCCCTTCTAATTATGCTGTGTTGAAACTTATGGCTTGGTAGGAATGAAAAAGTCTGGAAGAATGTACTACCACAACCTTGTAGATTATTGAAAGAAATTTAGCTTATTTGAGAGATTGGAGGGATGAAACTGAAAGTGAGCGAACAAGCAGATCTACTCAAGTGAATGAAATTGTTAAATGGAAGAGGCCCCAACCAAGATGGTTTAAACTCAATGTCCATGCTGCGATTGATGCAAATGGTGGTAAAATAGGTTTTGGGTGGATTCTCATAGATGATAATAGACATTTCAAGGCAGCCAGATGTACTCTATGGAACGACCCTTTTTCACCCAACAAAGCTAAGGCAGTTGCTATCCGGGAAGCACTCTCTTGGTTCAAATTCTCTCATTTAGATCATGTTGTTTGGAAATATATGCTTTAATTGTTGTTCAAAGTTTAAATTCTACTCTAGGAGATTCCTCTTTTGATCCGATTGTGTTAGACATCAAAGATAGACTTAATTAGTTTTTCTATGTGTCTATCTCTTTTGTTAAGCGATCTGCGGATCGGACAACTCATATTCTAATACGGAAGTCCCTTTCTAAGTCAGGTTGCGAGGAGTTAGGAGTGAATTACCCACTTCCTTTTTTTCTTTGTAATGTTCTATCAGATAATTTTAGTAATGAAGATTAGTGGTTTTGCTTTTCAAAAATAAAAAAAATATACTTATTCGCCATCATTATCCGAATCAGTCAAGAAAATAATCCTCTAAAATCTACGTGACTTGAAGTGATGAACTACTGCGCTGTTTGCACGTGCTTTGGCGGCGAAATTATGCCAGCATCCAACGTATTGTATTTGAGACAACCAATGAAAATTGCAGAAGTCTAGAAACAAAAATAATAAATTAAAAAAAAAAAAAAAAAAAAAAAGTGGATAAAGAAACCAATAAAAAGAAGGTAGATGGTGTGGTCCCATGTAATGGTCCAAATGACTTATAACCAGAAAATGTGAATATTCTGTGAGTGAAATTTTATGGTATTTATTTATTTACTAAGATAAGAAAAGAAAAAAAAATGCACATTACATGTTTATACTGTAAATCTAATAGAGGGATACTTGTATGAGAAATATTCCTTATGAGAGAATTATGAATCAATAAGAGTTATGTATATGAAAATATTGAACAGATATAAAGTAATTATAGAAAAAAATACGATGACATCTTTATAAATAATTTAAATTTTGAAGTGTGAATTTTAATACTATAGAGTGCAACTAAGCAAAACTATAGAACATAGTGCACCTATTCATTAGGGTTGTACATATCACGGATATACTCTATGATTTTGTTAGATGTACTATATATTGTTGTTAAATTGCACTTTAAAGTTCAATTTATTTACAAAAATTTCATTGCATTTTTTCCTCTCTCCATGCTTTAAGCTTTAAAGCAGTGCACTCAAGATCTATAATAATTCACTCGCGTGTGTGCATTATTATTTATATGTAAATGCACTATCAAGCATTTCCAAATGTATCGTCGCAATTACAGAAATAGTATTGCTTATTCTCTCACCTTTTCTTTAATTTACAGCCTTGCATGTTTCATCGTCTGAGATTGGAATATGAGCGGCCATGAGCCCCACTCGTCTGAGATTTAAAAGGGGTGAATTGCCACCCTCGACAGTTATGGCTGTTTAACAACAACCATGGAGCCGGACAGAAACGACCACAATTGTCTTAGTCTAGATTATTTTATTTATTTTATTTGTTTTCAAAAATTTTAATTATATTTTAAATTTAAATTTTTTATAAAAATTTATTAATTTATGCCAAGTTATTGCCATATTGGATATCAAGTGATCGTCACATTAAAATAATAGTATACATGAAAGCTTAACATTGCCAAATCAGTAGTACCTTGTTGAATAGGTAAAGTGAAGGCTTAACAGCATTTTTTTCTATTTTAAAGGGCTTTGATAAATTTTTTTTAAATAGTTAGCAAGAGACATAATTACACTATTTTTTTTTTTTTTTTGTAAATAGAGAGGGGTAAACCCGGTGTAGACCTAAAGATTTGCTCCACGAGGGACCCTCGCCCCCACAGCATCTTCCCACATGACGTCTTCAACTATCGCGGGCATGGCAGTAAGTGCTCGGGCACCTAACTCTTGAGTGGTGGCTACCGTGGCGAGGCGATCAGCTACTCGGTTTTGCTCACGTCTAACATGCTTGAACTCTATGTTATGGAATCTGCTCAGCTCCAGTCCGCACAGCCTGATGACATTACTCGCTCCTCTTGCGGTGTGCTCGCTGCCAGACAGGCGTTTGATAGTGTCCAGCGAATCACTCTCAACGATGAGGTTCCTGACACCCCATGCGGCCGCCATACGGAGTCCTTGTAGGACCGCCCATCCCTCCGCAACCTCGGCCGAACACGAGCCAATGTTACATGTGAAACCTCTAACCCAGCTGCCCCTGTGATCTCGAATGACCCCTCCACACCCAGCCTTCATGTTCGCCCCTTTGCAACAACCATCCACATTAAGTTTCACCCATCCGTGCTCCGGTTTCTGCCACGCGTTTCTTTCTCTGCCAGGCGCGACCGCCAACGGTCCCTGTTTCCTGAATGCCTCTTTGACCTCATCTCTTTGGTTGTTGATCAACGCTATCCTCTGTCCCACGGTATGTCGCTTCCCTTCAAAAACCCGCTCGTTGCGCCACTTCCAACACCACCACAGCCCGATGCCGAAAGTGGTCGGCCAGTCCTCCTCAAAACCCAGCCTACGATCTGCTTTCAGATTAGCAGATAGCCAATCTGTCCATCCCTTCGCGTGGATTTGCTGCATAACCCTCCGCGGCATGATTTCTTCCCAGAATCCCGCGACCTCTACGCATTCCTTAAAGATGTGTTCAATCATCTCTGGGACACCTGCACAAGAAGAGCACATCATATCATTCGTAAAATGGCGCTTATATCGTTCTACATTCACCATGATCTTCCCATTTTTAACCAGCCACAAGAAGTGGTTTATTTTACTAGGGAGTCTGATTTTCCAGATGATATCCCACTCATTATCCCTTAAAATAGGGCACGGTGGTTGGAGATCGTTGTACGCCGAGCGGATAGAGAAAAGTCCTGATGCTTCCAGCCTCTATCCCCATTCGTCCCTCGCGTCCTCTTCTTCCAGCAAGACAGCTGCATGGATCTTTGCCTTCCACATGTCATCCAGTATATCATCGAAAAGTTTCCATTTCCAACCCCGGCCAGCCTCCCAGTAGTCCGCCACTGGGGCGTACAACTTCGGCAGACTCACAGGCCTCTTCATGTGCTCGTATAACCTTTCACCTTGAATCCAATTGTCCATCCAGAATTGCGTATCCCTCCCATTCTGAACTTCCCGTGTCAGCCTTTGATCCACAAAGTCCGTCGCGGTTCTGATCCCTCTCCATGCATTTGATGCAGGCTTGCGTGCATCATTTGGTGTTCGGCCACTCATCCCGGCGTACTTCTCGGCCAACACTTTAACCCACATGCAGTCCTGTTCTGTCCGCATGCGCCATCCCAATTTTTCCATAAACGCTTGATTCACTTCGGTCATCCTCCTGATGCCTAACCCGCCCTCTTGCTTGCGTTTCGTGACCTTCTCCCATCGCACCAGACTTGTCTTCCGTGTATCTCCTTCCCCGCCCCAGATAAAATTCCTGGTCATGGCCTCCAGTTTAAGGCACACTTCTTTTGGCAACAGCATGGTCTGCGTAAAATACAGATTTGGCCAAAGCAATCCTCCCTGCAAGCGTCAAAGTCTTACCTCTCCATCCGTCTAATCTGCCTTGGACACGATTAAGTAGCCCAGAAAAGGTCGCGGTCGTTACTCTTCCATGAATCGAAGGGACACCTAAATACCTGCCAAGATCTGACGTGCTTGGGATACTCAATTCCCTGGAAATAGCCGCCCCCAACTCAGGGGAAGTATTCTTGGAGAAAAATACTTGGGATTTCCCCAAGCTTATGCGTTGCCCGGAAGCCGCACAAAAGTTATCCAAACATCGCCTAATAACCTCCACTTGTTCTAGGGTCGCTTCTGAGAAAAGCACCATGTCATCCGCAAAGCAAAGATGTGAGAGGGTCGGCCCCGTGGGTGATACTTTGATGCCCTTCCACGCTCCGCATCCCCCTTCCATTGAAATGCTCTGACTTAACCTTTCCATGCACAGCACGAAGAGTGCGGGTGACATGGCATCCCCTTGTCGTATGCCCCGCTCTGGTTTAAAGCGCTCCAATCTGATGCCTAATTTGCATGTTTGCTGTCCTGACACACTCCATAATTATTCGAGCCCAAGCCTCATCAAACCCTGCATCAAAAATAGTATCATTAATAAAATCCCAGGATAACCGGTCATAGGCTTTTTCTAAGTTAATTTTAATGGCCATAATCCCGGTTTTCCCTTTCCTAACTCTCATAGTGTGCATGACTTCCTGGTACACGATAATGTTGTCCGTGATCTGCTTCCCTGGTACAAAGGAGCTTTGAAACGGGCCTATAATCTTCGGGAGAATGTGCTTGAGCCTGTTGGTAATCGTTTTAGTGATTACTTTATACAACACATTGCACAGGCTGATCGGCCGAAATTGCTTTATGGTTTCGGGCATCGAAATCTTCGGTATAAGAACCAAGAGAGTATCATTGACACCTTCCGGGAGTCGTCCTGTCTCGAAAGCAGCTTTCACCAGCTCGAACACAGAATCTCCCACGATCAGCCAAGCATGTTGATAGAAAGCTGCATTAAGTCCATCGGGCCCTGGTGCTTTCATAGGGCTCATGTCAAAAACCGCTCGGCGGACTTCTTCTTTCGTTACCCCAAGATTAAACTCTCTCCATTCGCTCTGCTCAATTCTAGGAAACATGCCTCGGGCTGCCCTCGGTATATTGGCATCCCCTTCGGCTGTGAATAAGTCTGTGTAGAACTCCTGGACGTGTCGCTGTAACTGCTCTTCCTCCACAATCCAGTTTCCGCTTGCCTCCATTAAGCTGGCCACTTTATTCCTTGATTTACGGACCATTGTCGCCGTGTGATAGTATTTGGTGTTTCTATCTCCTGACACAATCCACTCCTCCTGTGAACGTTGGAACCACATGATCTCTTCCTGGTAGAGCACGGATTCAAGCTCCTGTCGAAGTTTCTTTTCTAGCTGCCTTAGCCCCCTATGCATATGGGACGCATGGTGCTTCTGAATGCCCCCTATGCGGGCTAGCAAGACCTTCTTCCGCCCTTCAATACTGCCAAAAACCTCTCTATTCCACTTGGTGAGCTCCTCCTGGGTCTTGTCGATGTTGGCTTGCCATGCTTGTTCTGACCTCCAAGATCGTCGTATGGTCTCATTAATCGATTCGTTGGATAGCCAGGCTGCATGAAACTTGAACTGCCCGGTCGGTCTGTTTCCACCTCTCCCGGCAGTCTGTATGAGAAGCGGCGCATGATCAGACGACACTCGCAGCAGGTGGCGAACTATGGCCTCCTGAAAGCGTCGTCTCCACTCCACGTTGCACAAAGCTCTGTCAAGCCTAGCCCCTTTCGCGGCCCTGTTCTCATCACCCTTCATCCAAGTGAGCCGTGCCCCGCTGAAGCCCATGTCAACAAGCCCTTCACTGTGAATCCAGTCCACAAAGTCGGTGCTCCGTTGAGAGGAATATGCTGAGTAGTTGCAAGTCTCCTCCTCGCAGGTAACGGCATTGAAGTCCCCTACCGCTAGCCACGATCCCTGGATGTTCCGTTTGCTTGCCCGGAGCTCGCTCCATAACCTTCTTCGCATATGCCTAGCCGGACTGCCATACACTACCGCTTGGGTCCACGGCGCCCCGCCATTCTCCGATATCTGCAGCAAAACAAATTGCGGATGAGTAAAAACCACTGTGACATCCAACGGTTTATTCCAAAAAACCCAGATTCCCCCACTGAACCCCACTGCTTCCACTCGGACCCAATCTTCGTATCCGAGCTTCGAGCAAATGGTATTAGCATGTCCTCCAGACACCTTAGGCTCGACCAAGCCTAACAGGTCCGACCGGTGTGTTTTAATCAAAAGTTTGAGGACGCGGTTGTCCCTCCCCCCGGCGCCCTGGCAATTCCAAATAAGACTAGTCATAAAAGCCGAAAAAAACAAAAACCAACAGTAAACGCTACACAAAACACGCGGTACAGCAAGCTCAAACCAAGAACAACAAACTCAAATCGCCGCCTCAACAGCGGCAAATCCCCCCGGGTCTCCATCCACCTCCATCGCGGCACCCCCATTATCCCCCAACTGGTTTGGATCATCGCTATGGTGTTCTCTCATAGCTTCCAAGTCGCGCATAGGCCCCGCGTTGGGCACCTGTTCAGTCGTGATCCGCTCTGTCCGAATGCGTGCACCCCCTTGTGAGCCCCTCACCACGACATGTTCATCTTCTTCTGCTGCTTTCCGTGCGGTGACTCTGGGGTTGGCACGGGTAGTCTGACTGATTCCCCCATCGGCCATTGCTGGCGGCTTCTCCCCTGGCTGGTTCCCAATTTGTTTCTCGTTAACTACCACATTCGGCCTTCTCTGACTACGCGCCTTGGTTATGATCTGTCCTGTCCCACTTTTCCATGCCAAGTCCGCTCCAGGTGCCTCCATGGATGAGCATGGAATCTCGCCCGTCTCCCCACCCTGGTTCTCATCTTCTGCAACTGGTTCCGACTGCACTTCTTCCGCATGTATCCCCTCCTCCACTAACGGCGAGAACCGCGACCTGCCTTGCGTCGCCTGCCCTGCTGCATTTGGTTTTCCCCCATTTGATCCAACTCGCTTTCCGGGGCGTCTATCCGGCTTTGTTACTATCATCCACGATCCAAACGGAGCCTTCTCGTCTGCTGCCCTCGATCTGGATGTTGTGGATCCCCCTGGGTCTGCCGGTTGTTTCCTGCCAGCGTCCTCTGCATTCGAAGTTTGCGTGCCAGCAGCGGGCGGTAATCTGTTCTCCTCAGTACATTTGTCAACGCTGTGGCCGTATCTACCGCAATTGAAGCAGACCAAATGGATCCCTTCGTACGCTATGAACCACGTCCTCTTCCGTAGTCTGAACTTGGAGATCAGTGGCTTGGTGATGTCTATCTCCACGCACATGCGGGCGAATCTCCCACGGGACGCTTGGTTGGTGGCTTGATCAACGCGAATGGGACGTCTCACCTTTTTCCCGATCTTCTGCAAAAAGGAAGCACTGTAATATTCAATTGGTAAGCATGGGAAACGGATCCATACCAGGACCTTCTCGGTTTTGTCCGTCATCGGGTCAAACTCTGGATGCCACTCCTTTACGAGCAGATAGTGATCTAAGATCATCCAAGGACCGCCGAATTTCGCATATTCCAGGTCGTCGACCGAGCCGAACCTGACGAGGAAATAGTCGTTGTCAATCGCCACAAGATCCATGTTGCGCTTGGGTCTCCATAAGGTGGTCAAGCGTCTCAGCATATACGAGAACCCCACCCGCTTGCCCCAGACCTTAATTATCAGCACATTCCTCCATGGCCTTCTTAGCTCTTCCTTCTCTCGGTTAGTCAGCCTAATGACCGGGCATAGTGGGTCGTCATCATCTTCCTCTTCCTCGCCCTCCGAGAACCCATCATCATCCGTCTGATCGTCCTTACCCACGGAGGGTTGGGACGATCCCGCCACGAGATCTCGGAACGAGATCGGTCGCGGTGGACTGCGTGGTGCTTCCACCAACGCTGCGTAAGTCCTGATCACCTCCATCGGCGTCTCCTGAACCACAGCCTCCGCAGTATCTCTCACGCCTGAGCCTGCATCGCGTTTGGATTTCTTGGTACTGCGCACGAGAAGATCTTGATCCTCCTCCGATCGTTGGGACGAGAGCATCATCGCCATCGTCGCCATTTCTTATCACACTATTTAGTTAACTTGTAGAGCTTATTCATTTGACCCCCTTTTTTTAAAGAAAAATAACTGCTAAACACGGTTTGAAATTGCAATGCAAAAATGTTTATTTATTATATTTAAATTAATTGTTCATTGCCAAGTTAAATTTTTTTTTTTATGTAAACCACAATGTGGGCCAGGTCCACCCGGTCCGCTTCGAGAGACACTGAAGCTGGCCCAAAGGGAATCATCACTTGTGGAAATCAAACCCGGATTATACCGAAATTCTCCCCCACAATTGTCACTTGAGCTACCCTGTTGGGTTATTGCCAAGTTAAAATTAAATATTCAATCTAAATTGTTAGAAATATCCTATTGTCACCAAAATTTATCTTTCTGCATTTTTTTTTTAAATCACATGGCAAAAACTCAAATTCAAAATAGATAGATAAAAGAAACAGAATCATTTACTCGACGGAAGAAATTATATGCACGGAATTCAAAAAACGGAAATCCCTTTTCTGGGATACAAACCAAGGAAGTCGTCCTTGAAGAAGGCGACATTGGCGACATGGGTGAATGAATGGGAGAGGTGAATTGTTTTTTAAAAAAAGGCTCTGCTTTAGATGGATTTTTTATGGGAGAGGTGAATTCGTCGATCAAAGCTTCTGGTTTCAAAAATAATAAATTAATTAATTAAAAACCTAATTCGTTTTTATGGGTGCATTTTCCAGTCAATAACGCAGTAAACAGGGAGCAGTAAAATAGTAAATGTAGGAGCACTATGGATGTATATGGAGTAAAATAGTAAATACGATAACTACCATATTTACTCTACTTCAAAAAAAAATGAAAAACTTATGTCGCATATTCGTTAGGCGTTATTCAAACCAATAACGCTAAAGAGAAAATGGTTATTCCCTCTTGCATAACCCAGAGCCTGAAATTCCTGATTTCGAATCCCGTGTCCAATGGATTTCTCCTCGACAAAATCACCTAAAAGAAACACACCTTGTATTTCTTATCTGGGAATGTATATATACTCACTATGCGTCATTTGTTGATTGATACATAGAAGAAAAAAAAAAAGGGAAAAAAAGTTGAACCATAATCTTAAAATTAAGAAATAAGGTCGAAATTGGCACCGAACGAAA